TTTTAAAAAAAAAATTCTTTGATTATTATGTTGTTCAAAATTTTCAACCAACAAGAATAATTATATATAAATACATTCATAATGAACAAAGTGCATATAGTTTATGAAATTTATAAAACAAAGAAAGTGTTGGATGAATATCTTGTATATTTTATAATATCAATTATCACATATTATTTCCCCCAAATAACAGGAAAAAACTGTCTTTTATAACAGAAAAAAATGGCTAATTGAGTCATGATTCATCACTCCCAATCATGCCGTGACACGTGTATAAAAAAACTTTATAATTAAAAATATTTATTAATTTTTTTATATGCTATTCATTAAATATGATGTAATTAATATAATATTTTTAAATATTTATACTAAGAATTCAGTTTTCTTTTCCAATTAAAATATTAAACTAATTTTTCAAAATTAAAATTAAATAAAATAATTCAAACACAAAGCACATATCAAACTACTTATAGAAGTTTGAAATTTTATGTAATAAAAAATAAGATTTTATTTTTATAACATTATTAAGTGTTTGTTTGGAGTTTAGGGTTTTGGATTGAGATTTGAATAGTAAAAATTTTGAATTTAAATAGTTGTATGATGTGATATAAATATGTATTGATGTAATGTTTGAACGTAAAATTGATTTTTAGTATAATATAAAAAATGAAAGATAAGTATTTGATTTGATATTTTTTAGAGAAAAAATTTGTATGAATAGTAGAAATTCACACAAATCCTTCAAACAAACATAGTGATCATTTAATTTTTCTACATCATAATGGGTGTTCTTTTAATTTTTTTTTCTCACACATCTTTTTAAAAATATTAATATATGACACATATTTATTATTTTTATATTTCATACATGATTTCTTATATCTTACATAAAAAAATATTCATTCAAATTCTCTTACAAAGCAAACACACCCTAAGTTCAGCAGCCTATTTTTACTGGCTCACTTCATCTGTCCTGATACAATAGTCTTGTTTACTTTTGTCTGTCCCAAAACAATAGTTTTGTTTACATAAATAATCATATCACCATAAAACTACCTCTACTTTTTCATTTTTATTACACAATTGTCACTATTTTGTACACTAATGCACTCACAAGGGCAAAAAAATATTTTATCCATACTTTTTACCAACTACCAATATAATATCAATATTCTTTAAATCTTCTGTCCAACCCAATTAAGACTATATTTATGAGACTGGTAGTATTAACTTTTCTATAAAGTATTATATTCAAATTAAAATAAAAGCAAAACCTAAAAATTGAAAAGAAAATTCTGAAAAAAAAAAAAAACGCCCCAAAATATGTGAAACACAATCAATTATGTAATTTATATTTATTTATGGGTTTTTAACTCATATTTCATTATTTTATAATTGCTTCTTTAAAAACATAAAAATAAATATTTATTTTTATATTATAATAAAAAAATAATTTTATTTTTAAAATATTACGTAATCATATTTTTCTAATTTTTTCTTTAAAAACATAAAAATAAATATTTTTTAATATTATAAAATAATGTAATATATTAAATATAAAATTATTTTTTATTATAATAAAAAATAATTTTATATTTAATATATTACATTATCAATATATATGTACATTATATTAAATAATTATTACAATTTAAAATTTTACTATACAATACACAAAATCAACTATCAAATCCACTAACAAACACAACCACAAATGCATATTTAAAAAAAAAAAAAAAAATCTATTTGATTTAAATTCCATTCCTCCAACTGAATTGAACACTTTTATCAGTGAGACTGTATTTAAGATAATGATATTTAATTAGTTAATAATTGTGAGGTATAATATTATTTTTTCATATAATTAACAATAATGATAGTTTTATATATTTTAAAATTTATATGACAATAAAAGAGAATAAATTTTTTTATAATACAAGTAAATGAAAATACTTTTATTTATTTATTTATAATTAATATAAACTAATTTTATAAAAAATTATAGAATTTTACATATAGATAAATTTATTAATTTTTTGAGAAGAATGATAGCATTAAGAGGTTTTGAGTGAATCTTACATGATTTATAATATTTTATAGGTTAAATTGCACAAAACCTACACGTAGTTTCATGAAATTGCGTCAAATCCCCTATACTTCTAAAACTGCGTCAAACTCTCTCGTGGTTTCATAAACTCTGTGTCTAACCCCCTCGGTGGTCCTTATTTAATGATATTTGACTTAAATGCGCTCAAACTGCGAATAAATTTTAGAATCTCAATTTTTAAACCCCTAAAATTATAAATATATTCATTTTTCTTATATTTAGTCTCAAAAATAGTAAATATATTCAAAAATAGTTATTTTTCTTCGGTTTTAAGAGTTTTTTTTACTCTTTTTTGGGCTAAATATAAGAAAAATAAATATATATGTAATTCTAGAGGTGTAGAAATTGAGATTCTAAAATTTATTCGTAATTTGTGCGCATTTAGGTCAAATATCATTAAATAAGGACCGTCGATAGAGTTAGACACAGAGTTTATGAAACCATAAGGGAGTTTGACGCAATTTTTTAAAAATATGGAGGATTTGGTGCAATTTCATGAAACCACAGGTGAATTTTATGCAATTTAGTCTATTTTATATTACGTAGTAGTTAATTAAATTGATTTATATTTGTTGAGTATATTTTGATTTGATAAGTTTTGTCCAAAATAAAAAAGTACCCATTGTTATTAGATAGACAAAAATGAAAAAAAAAATCAATTAAAATAAGACTTATAGAGTATTTTACAATAATAATTTGTATATAAATAAAAATTATATTTAATATTTTATTAAAATAATTACTTTAGACACGAGATCTTAGTAAATGTATAATTAATAAATACATATTAAGTGAAAGTGAAAGAGATTTTGATATGTAATAGTACGTTTGTAATTTAAATAAAAGTTAATAATATTTTAATATTAATGTACTTTTACTTAAAAAAAAAAAAAACAAAAGTGATACATTTGAGTTAAACAGAGTAAAAAAAAGTACTTTCAATTATGAGGGAGAGTATTAATAAAATTAATTATATTATAATACAAATAATTATATATTAAATAAATGCATATAATTAATTTAATTAAAATTATAAAAACAATTATTTTCAAAATAAAAAATAATACTATCTCATTCTCTTAACAAAAGTATCTATTTTTTTTTTACATATTAACATTACAAATATCTTTATATTTGTATAATATTTTATATAAATATCATTATAATTGTATTATACAACACTAATAAATATATTTTTATTGTTTTCTCTTAGAGTATGTTTGTTTTGTGTGATTGTTGAAAAATAATTTTTTTTTTATATGAGGTATAGAAAATTTTGTAAGAAATATAAAAATAATAAATATGTGTAATGTATTAATATTTTTGAAAAATAGATGAAAAAAAAATTAGAAAAAATAACGTCTTAATTTGTACAATGTATATAATATTACTATGTAAAATTAGACCAAAAAAGAAAAAAAATACTTCATTAGGAAGGAACAAAAATAATAATAAAATATGAGATTGTTACGGAAATTCTTGGAAATTAAGAAAGAGACAAATAAGAACACAAGAATTTGGTAACCCGATTCAATCACAATGATTTACGTCTAGGGGCGCTGTCAAACCAAAAATTTTACTATAAAGTACACAGACGCGTGTTAAAGTGAGAATACATACATATTTAATCTATGCCTTAGATTTTAGAATATAATCAATTTCATATCCCAACAGAAATAAACAGAAATTAAACTAGTAATATACTCCATTCGTCCCACATAATTTGTTCATATTTTATATTTTCGTCCGTCCCACATAATTTGTTCTTTTTTTTTTGAAAAATTTATTATACACTTTAATTATATTTTAAAATTTTAAATTTAATTTTTTCAATCTTAATTAAACTATTTAATTTTCTTAATCTTAATCAATAATTATTTTTACTAATACACTTTTTAATTACTTACTAATTATATTTTACTTAAATTCCTGTATATACCGTAAGCCCATCTTATCTAGAGCTGTAAACGAGTCGAACAAAGCCGAGCTTGTCATGTTTGAGCTCGGGTTGTTAAGGGCTCAAATTCAGTTCGTGTACGTTCATTAAGAGATACAAGCTAAAATTTTTGTTTGAGCTCGGCTCGTTAAGGATTCGAGTTCGGTTCGTGTTCGTTCGTTAAGAGATACGAGCTGAAATTTTTGTTTGAGTTCGACTCGTTTAGCAATTTTTTTGTTCGTGTTCGGCTCGGCTCGGCTCATTAAGAGAAATTTTATTTTATTTATTTAATTTTTTTTAAAAATTTAAATTTAGTTAATAATAATTATAATTTTTATTAATAAATTTAAATAAAAAATAGAATGCAATATAATATTTATAAAGATATATATACTCATTAAATATAAAATTATTAATTTAATTTTTCTAATAAATATTATCGAACGTTTGCGAACAAGCTCGTGTTCGTTCGTGAACATAACGAACCAAAATTTATGTTCGTCGTTTGGCTTGTTTAGCTTAACGAATGAGCTCTTAGCGAGCTCAAACGAATCGAACCGAGCCGAGCTCGCGAATTGTTCGTTTGTTTTACAGCTCTAATCTTATCTAGGACCGAATGAGTAATTCTTAGTAAAGATAATTATCATAATTAGTAAATAATTAAGATTATATTAATGAAAATAATTATTATGTAATAAAAATAATTTTAAATTAAAGTTAAAAAATTAATTATTCTAATTAAAATTAAAAAAATTATGAAATTAAAAATTAAATTAAAGTATATTATTATTTTTAAAATAATATGGAAAGTATAAAAGTATAATTTGAAAACGAGCCTAAAATGCATCCGGAGCCGAGCCGGTTGAAAAACCGGTGGGCAATATGGTAAATTTACAAGATCTCAATCCGACGGCTCACACTCGTCTTCTTCTTCTTCTGTCACCCAGGTCCAAGTGTACTCTCTCTTTCTCTCTCGCTCTCTCGCGCACACACACACACCTCTCTCGTACAAACGCACAATATAACCGCCTGGTTAACTTTAGTTTTTTTTCCTGGCCCCTTCGTATCTATATTCTAGGGTTTCGTCGCTACAATACATATTCACGCTCCTTGCAGAAATTCCTGGTCTTGGTCTGCGTCATCGGGCCTGCAAGCAAATTTAGGTGCGTTTGATCCCCTTCCTTATCCGGCTTTCTGGTTTTTTTGATTTCGGGGTGTTCTTGATTTCCGGTAATTGATTTTTTTGTTTCTTCTGTACTGGGTTTCTTTTGCTTTTTAAATTGTTTATGTTTTGTGTTTACGTTTTGCCGTTGTTTCGAGTCTGCGCATCTGTTGCTTGGTTTGGGGTGTGAATTGGATTGATGGAATGTTGTAATTGGGGAATGAGATATCGTAAGGTGATTTCAGTGAGTTTGCTTGTGGTGTTGTGTTGAATTTCTGAGTTGGTGTTGCTCTGTTTTTCTCAATTGATGATTCGAGGAATACTGTCTTCTTTCGATTTGATATGGTCTGTTTCTGTCGTTCTAGGGTTTTGAATTGAAGTTTGGAGATTGGCATTCGAGTAAGTTTTGGTCTGGATATTTGTTTTGTTATGGTATTGTTGATGAATGGCGATTGAGAAGAATAGCTTTAAGGTAGCACGATTCGACTCAGAGTTCCAATCACCACACAGTCGGGACAAGGTTATGACTAGCGACGATGATGATGAATTTCAGAAGCGCAACTCTACTTCGGCTGTCGAATCTGATGATGACGATGATGAATTTGATGACTGTGATTCTGGAGCAGGCTCTGATGATTTTGATTTACTGGAGTTAGGCCAATCTGGTGAGGAGTTTTGCCAAATTGGTGATCAAACCTGCAGCATTCCTTATGAATTATATGACCTGTCAGGGTTAAAAGATGTGCTGTCTATGGAGGTTTGGAATGAGGTTCTAAGTGAAGAGGAAAGGTTCAGTCTCTCCAAGTATTTACCTGATATGGACCAGGAGAATTACGTGCGTACACTTAAAGAGCTTTTCTCTGGTGACAATTTACATTTTGGGAGCCCAGTGGATAAGTTATTTGAGATGTTGAAGGGAGGGATGTCTGAGCCGAGAGTAGCACTCTATAAGCAAGGTTTGGGTTTCTTCCAGATAAGAGAACATTATCATAGCTTGCGAAAGTATCAGAATACGATGGTCAGCAACCTTTGCCAGATGAGGGATGCATGGCAGAATTGCAAAGGCTACAGTATTGAGGAGAAGCTTAGAGTGTTCAACATTGTGAAGAGTCAGAAGAGTTTGATGAATGAGAACATGGAAGAATTCCGGACTGAGTCATCTGACAGAGAAGAGTCTACTGATGCTCATTGGAGCAAAAGGGTGAAGGATCGGAAGCTTGGGCAGAAGACAGGTCGATATTCTGGCTACAGCATTGGTCCACCTTCAGATATTTCTTCTCAAGGCAGGAAAAATGGAAAGGAATCAACTAAACCTGGGAAACGCAATCCTAAAGGGACATTGAAGTTGGTTGGGTCTAAGGCCAATGCTATGAAGGAGTTATCTGAACCCTATCCTTTGAATCATCCTGGAGTTGAAATAAAGTCAGGACGATATAGTTTGGGCCTTCCTGTTTCTCGGTATAGCAAAGAATCAGTTAATGATTCTCCAGCTGCAAGGATGGCTGACCAGATTCAAGAGGATGATGAAGCAGACAAAGCTTATGAAGTTACCATGCAAAGAGATCAAAATTTATCTCGAGCTGGGGTAAATGATAAGCCTGCTACGTCCAAATGGAAAAAACATGGAAGTCCTAGAACTGAAGACGATATGGATGGTTTCATGGGAATCCCTATTTCAGCAAGGAACAATTTACATGGTCTTGGCAGGAACAAGACCATTAACAAATTGTCTGATATCAAAGTCTTGACTACAAAGCCATCCAATATGAGAAACATGTATGATGGAGGAAAAAAAGGGAAGTATGGCGAGAACCTTCAGCAATTCACTGGTGACAGCCAGATAAAATTTGGTAAGGGTCAGAAGGCAAATTTATCCTTGAAAGGAAAGCAAATAGAGCATTTCGATTCAAGTGATCCAGCTTGGCTTGGTAAATATGGTGGACTATTCCCTTCTGATTTGTCTAGTAAATCTAGTGAGTTGAACGCCAAAAATAAAAAGGGGAAGATGAGTAGGGAAACTGTTGATCTCAGTACAAATGATAAATTGTCGCATGCAAAGCAGAGAGATATGTTTCAGGCTAGCTCTGGAAATAGAGGAATTAGGAGTCCTTCAAGAAATGAAGACACCGAATCAGACTCATCAGAATATGTTGATGAGGATGAGGATGACAATCCTTTGATGCGTAGCAAGTGGGCTTACCCTGGTGGTGTGCCGGATGTGAAATTTGGGCCAGATACAAAGAAGGCTGAAGGTTCTAGAAGGAAAAAGAAGAATAGCTATCTAACCCTTGACGGATCATCACAGTTGTCGCGGAAGATGGATGATTTTAGTGAAAACCTGGAGTTGATGAAAGCAGAACAGAAAGGCAAGATGCATGATGTTGGCTACTCCAATATTTTGCCCACGAAAGGCCTTGATGACCACTTTTATCCGGTACCAGGAGAAGTTATTGGTGCTGAAGATCGGCAACATTTCTATCCCTCAGGACTGAATAGCCATCTGGAAGGCAACAATACTGACACTTACTATTTGCCATCACTGAAACCATCACTTGCTGTGGGAAGGAGGCGGAAAGGAGAAGTGAGCCGTGATTTTGCTCTCGCTCAACCTAATTACATGGATAGCAACAATTTTGATGATGACTTGTACTGGACACAACGACTTGCAGCAGATAATGGTGTTCCTTTTAAGTTAAGGAAAAAAGACCAGATGGTGGAACTCTCAGGTGGCTATCATGTTGAACGATCTGATGTGCCAATGATTGAATGCAGCAATCTTTCGAGAAAGTGGAAAGTAAAGAATGAATCAGGATACATGGACTTACAAAATGATAATGAATATCACTGTGCTGAAGCCGAGCTGCAGCTGGATGACATAAGTTCCGTAAGGAAACGAGGTAAAAGGAGGTTGGAGGATGCTTCTAATGTTCTAGAGAATGGTGTTTCTCAAGCACCTATTGTTGAAAAGGGCATGGATGATGTTGAGATAGAAACTAAGAGACAGAAAAAGTCATTTCCTTTAATTACACCTACTGTTCATACTGGCTTCTCATTCTCCATTATTCATCTTCTCTCTGCGGTCCGTATGGCAATGATCACTCCGCTTCCAGATGATTCCTTAGAGGTTGCAAAGCATCCCACTGTGACTGATTCTTCACAGGGGGTCAAGGAGGAGCAAACCAGTAAGCAGGAAGATGCAAAGAATGGTAATTCAAACTCAGATATTCAAGCAAATGCTTCTATGTCAGCACAAGAACATGTGCCTTCTCTCTCAATTCTGGAAATTGTTAACCGGGTTAGATCAAACCCTGGTGATCCTTGTATTCTTGAGACACAGGAACCTCTTCAGGATTTGGTGAGAGGTGTTCTTAAAATATTTTCATCCAGAACAGCACCCCTGGGAGCAAAAGGGTGGAAACCACTGGTATTGTATGAAAAATCTTCTAAAAGTTGGTCGTGGGTTGGTCCTGTGTCTCATAATTTATCCGACTCTGAGGTTGTTGAAGAGGTGACGTCTCCTGATGTGTGGGGTCTTCCTCATAAAATGCTCGTCAAGTTGGTTGATTCCTTTGCTAATTGGCTAAAGAATAGTCAGGAAACCCTTCTGCAGATAGGAAGTCTTCCAGCTCCGCCATTGACATTGACGCAAGTGAATTTAGATGAAAGAGAAAGGTTCAAGGATCTGAGAGCTCAGAAGAGCCTAAGTACCATCGGCCAGAGTTCTGAAGAAGTAAGAGAATATTTCCGTAAGGAAGAATACCTCAGGTATCTAATACCAGACAGGGCCTTTTCTTATACAGCTATTGATGGTAAAAAATCGATAGTTGCCCCTTTAAGGAGGTGTGGTGGCAAGCCGACATCAAAAGCACGGGACCATTTTATGCTAAAACGGAATCGACCACCGCATGTTACCATCCTTTGTCTTGTGAGGGATGCAGCAGCACGATTGCCTGGAAGTATTGGAACCAGAGCTGATGTGTGTACATTGATTAGAGATTCACAGTTCATAATGGAAAATGTCTCTGATGCGCAAGTCAATCAAGTGGTCAGTGGAGCATTGGATCGATTGCATTATGAGCGTGATCCGTGTGTTCAATTTGACGGAGAGAGAAAACTATGGGTTTACTTACATCGTGATAGAGAAGAAGAAGATTTCGAGGATGATGGGACTTCATCTACAAAGAAATGGAGAAGGCAAAAGAAAGAAGCTGCTGAACCATCCGAGCCAGGAGATGTCACTGTTGCTTTCCCTGGACCCTTGGAGCAATCGGGATTTGATCTGGGTTCTGATCTCAATGTTGAGGCCTCGGGTGTGGACGAGGATAAAAGACAAGAGCCTGATTATCAAAATGGTAATGATCAAGTCGAGGTTGTTGAAACTAGTCATGGTTCTGACCAGGGCATGCATCCTGGTTCGACACCAATGACTTGGAATGGTTTTGAATTAAGAACATCAGAAGAAAATAGGCTCCTTTGCCAAGAGAATTCTACGAATGAAGAGTTTGATGAAGATGCATATGGTGGTGGTGAGCCGCCTGCATGATCGTGGATTGATCAATCTCTGTGCATTGTTTATGAGGTAACTTTTAGAGCGCATGCTCCTCAATTATTTGCAGACTTCCTCTGTGATATAAGATGATCCATTATTGATCATCGAAGCTTCGTATGCTTGATAATGTTTGTGGTCGGGTGAATGCTTTCACTTTCTCAGACTTTGGATTTACAGTACACGACTTTTCATTTCTTTTTTGATAATGATTTACTATAACTGTTCCTTTTCTGTTCAAGTTGATTCTTGCTGGTGTCTTTACTTCTTGTCTGTGGTCTTATGACAAATTGAATTACACTCTAATGAATTCGGGGTTTAATAGTTTTAGATCAAGTGGATTATCGATTACACGGACTGATATTTAAGCAAGTTTCTGTTTATGCTATTTAAAATGTTTCCTATACATATTCCACATTTTGGCTTGGAATTACCTTTCGGATAGGAGCTTATCGTAGAAAATACTTGCTTTGTGTTGTGTCCTGATATTCAAGAAATTGACAACTTTGGTCATCTGGGAACAAATTTCAACGAGCCCGACTCTGGATTAACTACCTAGCTCAACTTACAATTTTGTCAGTTTCATCTCTCTTGCGTTAAAAATAATGGGATCATGTCGATCTACTGTGAATATTAGCTGCTCAACATCGAGCTTTGTTCTTACCAGTGAAAATGTATAGAAATAGCCGATACATTGTGATGATATAGAACTTGAGTGTTTTCTTTCGACTCGGCTCGTTCCAATTTTAAATATCTTCAATGTTTTGCAGGCTATGGTGAAGTCTCTGGTAGCCATTGATGTGTTTTCAGCTCACAGAAGCATATGACATTATGAATATAGTTGTCAAATATTGTGAAACACTGGACTCTGTTTAATCCAAAGAATATATTCAGTGCAGACTGCAGATGTATTTAATTTTTTCTTTTCTACCTTTGATATTTCTCTATTTCTGCTTATAGTCTATAAGTTTGTACTAATTTTTTCGAACAGAGCAGAGCAGAGCCAAAAAATTTATTTAGCTCATATTCTGGAATTCTGTAATTGGTATGGACATGTTATATTCTTTGTTTCCTTGTGAGGATTGCATATGATTTTTCAAGAATTAGTTCCAAGAATAAATTCTGTAATCTTATGCATTATGACTAATTTTCCCATCTGCACTTGATTTGTATAATACTCCCTATTGTAGACACGGGAATTTAGGTAAAGTATAATTAGTAAGTAATTAAGAAGTGTATTAGTAAAAATAATTATTATTTAGTAAAAATAATTGTAGATTATGATTAAAATAAGTAAATAGTTTAATTAAAGTTAAGAAAATTATAAAATTTAAAATTTAAAATGGGATTAAAGTGCATAATTATATTTTTAAAAATAGAAAGAACAAATTATGTGGGACGGACGAAAATAGAAAATAGGAACAAAATAGGAACAAATTATGGGACGGAGGGAGTAGTATACTAGTAGGGGTTGTTTGAATTGACGTGTTCATGTTAGCGTAATTCGAGAATTTAAAAACGTATAATTAGTAAGTAATTAAAAAATATATTAATAAAAATAATTATTATATAATAAAAATAATTAGTCATAATTTAAAGTATTCTTTTATGTATAATTTTTGTTTGTTCTATTTCAAAATATAAATTAAAAAGTAATCATATACTTAATATTCAAATATATTTAATTTTTATTTAAATTACAATTAAAATTAAGATAACTAAATAATTTAATTAATTATAATATAAAAATATGACTAAAGTGTATAATTATATTTTAAAAAACAAAAGAGAAGTGAAACTGGCCAAGATAAAAAATATAAACATCCTCCGTCCCACTTATCGTGTCCATCTTTTTGCTCCGTCTCATTTATTCTGTGACTTTTTTTTGGAAAAGTATTATAAACTTTAATTTCATTAAAAATTTTAATTTAAATTTTAATTATACTAATGAGTTATCTTAATATTTTTATTAAATAATAATTATTTTTACTAATATATATTTATTTATTTAATAATTACACTTCTCCTAAATTTCCGTGTTTATAGTAGACGGAACACCGATGGAGGAAGAGAATATTTCTTTAAGAATATTATTTTAGGTACTTTACTATGTAATTATGACTGTTATTTATAAAATATTATTTTATATTATAGACTATTATATCTAAATTATTATTCAGATTAAAATAAAATAAGCAATAAGACCTATTAATTCGGATTGGTGGGACAAATTAGTCTATAATTTACCATAATTTCCAAATAAACAGATTATTTGCAGACTAATCCGCGGCCGAACGAACTAAAATTTAGTAGTTTAACCCAATGCACCAGTATACGACGAGCCAAGCCAGCCAACCTATGAACTTTTAAAAAGTATTACATTAAAAATATTATTTTTTATATATTTATTTTACAAAATAGTTATATCTTAGAGTTTAAATAATAAATATTTCAAAACCAATTTCTAATATAAATTAATTTAAAATTTTAAATATCATTAGTCGTTATTTTTTAAAATAAAATAAAATTGCTAATCGAAAATTTTATAAACCATAATAATTATTCTTATAGATCTTTCAATAAATTCTTAAAAAAAAATTACAAGATAATGAAAAATGAATAAAACAAGCAGAAAAAAATTGAAATAAAGAAACGACATATATATATTGGTTACATAGTTTAACATAATATGAACATTTTTAATAAACTAATTATTTTATTTAACTTAATATAAAATAATTTTAAAAACTATAATAAAATTTCATTAATCCCATATATATATATATATATATCTGTTTATTTTTTCATTAAAATTATGAATATTAATATTAAATAATAATGATAATTTTGATTTGTAATAATCTGTAGTAAAAATTTTCTAAAGTGATATGGTAAATACAATTACTAAAAATTAAATAAATAAATTAATTTTGGACTGACTAAAATGACAAAGTAAATATATTCATTTGAAATAATAAAATATAATATAATTATATTCATATTTATTTAGTTCAGGCTAACTCACTTCTAATCCGCAGTCCGCATAGATTAGCTCATTTAGACCGTCATTTTTACGAGCCTAAAAGATTAAAACCCACTCAATCTTTAAAATTAGGACGGGACGGCCAACCCGACAAACTCAATCAATTTTGACAGCTCTAAAACCAATCCACATCAAAGAATTCTAAAGTGAAATTTTCTACTCTCTCATGTATTTACTCTCATTTGGTGGTAGAAATCCATTTTATTTCATGTTCACATAAAAAAAAAACGTATTTTCAAAAATTTTAATTTTTTCTTTTATCCACATGATTAAATTATTTTTTCCTAAAATAATTCAATATTTTATATAATATATATTTTTATTTATTTAATAATTTAATTTGAAAATTATGATTGTATTTAGGTCTTTAAATAAAAAAGATAAATATTTTAATTTAATTTAATATTACAATGATAAAAAATAAAATTACATACTAAAATAGTACAATAATAAATTTTATGAAAGTTAATCTGATGTGAACATTTAATTTATAATACAATTATTTGTGTTTACGTATCTTCAAATAAAAACAAATTTAAATATTTTTAATTTGATTTGATATTGTAATGATATTACAAAATTAAATTATTATTATTATAAGTTGGTTATATTTAATTAAAATTTTATTGAATAAAAGTATACGAATATTGTATCATTTTGTAAAGAATAAAATTTCATAAAATATTTATTACATCTCAACTTAAAGTATTTTTTTTATTATTATATTCATCTGTCTCGTTCAAAAATATGTTTTTTTCTATTGTAGTAAAAATAATCGTATACCAATGCCAAAATAATCTCGAACAACGGCCATTTCATTGCTTGTGGTTGGCTGGAAAATGTCAGCCACATGAAACGACATATCAAACACCAAGTCTCGAAGGTTCGTCTGCATCTCCGATGATATTTCCTAATGAATAAAGACAACCGTCATCCGCTTGGACAAAATGTTGCCCTGTACACGCAAACCGACACCTTCTCCGTTCTTTTCTTGATTCTCCATTTGAACAATTTTTTTCCTGAATGAAGTCGCATACGCCGAGTCCCATTGGTCATGCCAATTATGTTGGCCTAGAAAGTAATTTCCAGCCTAAACTTCTACCCGAGAGAATCGGTGGATTCCCGAGCGACTTGATGCGAATCTCCAGTAGTATATAAAGAATTTGGGAAAAGATAATATAAATCAATCGAATAAAAGACGGCACAAACGAGTTGTATTGATTCAAGATCTAAATAACATTATTTCTACAACAACAAAAAGAAAAAAAAAACACAAAAATATTATATTGAAAAGATATAATTTTGTGAGATGAGATGTTTTTCATAAGAGTTGCTACTCCTTTTTATGCAAAAATCTTTATTAAATTTTGCATTTATCTTCCCAATTATTGAACTCAATTAGACTTCCTTAATCACTCACTGCTTCACTTTTTCACTTGCTTGACAACACTATTAATAATCCCTTTGAATGCATAACATTAGGGATGTCAAATGTGTCAGGTTAGCCTCAGATCCGCTCTGAATCTGTTTTGAATGAGGCGAATTTGGGTTTAAAAAAATTTGATTTTGGGTGAGTTATGAATTTTGAGTTTTAGACCCGGTCGGGTTCGGAGCGGGTTACGGATTTTACTAAAAATCCGCCCCTCCCTGGACCTAGATCTGAACCCGAATATTTTAATAATTATTATAATTTATTTATATTTTTATACAATATAAATTAAATTATTTATTTATTTTAAAAAATTTAAACATAAAATAAAACTTTAATTCTAAATCAAATTTATTTTCACATTTGTTTCTCCTACCATTCTCATTATAATCGGGATTACTGCTGACCGTCATAGGATTATTGTCAATATTTAATTGTTCTTATTCTCAAATTATAATTTTTGGTACTTTGACGCATATTTTTTTTAAGTATTAAATTATTTTTTAAAAAAATATTTATTCTTTTAAATAAACAAAATGGGTTTGTCGGTTTGGCTCCAAACCCGAAGGGTTCGGAGCGGAATGAATCCTAGGGGCGGGTTGAAGTGGGGCAGGACGGGTTTTGGATCCTAATATTTTTTAGTGAGACGGGTTTCGGGGCCTACAACACCCGTCCCCAGCCCGCTTATGGCATCCCTACATAACAATAAATCTTATTTAAAGTTTTAATAATCAATACGATCAATTAATCATTCTCCAAAATTCATGCAATATAGCTTGGACTGGGCCAATCATTCACTTTATTGGGCTTGAAATCTTTGGGTTGCCGCTAACTTATCCACCATTGATTGGCCTGATTTGGACGCTTTGATTCGATGCTAACAAAATTATGTTACATTGACCTAAGTTATTTTGATCGATTGATCAAATTCTCCAAAATCTACCCACCATTATTGCTGGAATTTTCGTTTGGCAATAACAATATATATTTTTTTATTTTAAATATTAATTACCAACGTCATCTCCTTCATTATTTTTTTTCTTTTTTTTTCTTTTTCATTATGCTATTATTACTTCAGGAAAAATCGAAAAATACATCACAAAAATAAAAAATAGAAAAAAATAAAATTTTTTATTCAAGGTAAAAACCCAGACAATCCAAAGTTGAAACTATATTGAATTGAAATTGACTAGTGGAACAATGAAATTGATGAAACAAGTCCGACTACTTGCAATGCTTGAAAGCTGGTTTCGTCACTATATATATTTATATATAATATGATTACAGTTATTATATTGAATTTTATAACTCAATCGCAGTTCTGACAACATATTACATCATGACAGACAACATGATGTAATATGTTGATAGACAATACATAACTTATGCTTATATAGTACAAATACAATATATAAAATAATAATATATAACAATAATCTACACAATATATATTACTATTACTATGAATTGATATATTTTTATGCAACAAAACCCTATAAATTGTGTTATTTGAAAAACGTGTTATTTTACCGTTTTTAATATACTAAATAGAAATGCTATTTTCCCCTTCACTATGGTAACCGGTCCCATATAATATTCTCCCTCTATTCCATATATTTTGGGCCTCTTACTGTAG